AGAAATGTTTGTCTGGATTTCCATTAGCCTGTACGCTGCAGTTTGGCTCACTCTTAGAATTTTGTTTACTTTTAGTCTGTAATATTCAAACCCGCTGCAGATAGCAAGCTACTTCTCATTGTCGTGTTCTGTCACGTACTCTGCTCGTTACCAGGCAGGCTGCTCAGCCCCAGTGGAGCTCAGATAGAAAGCTCTGGTGAGTAATGCATTCTTAGTGGCATGCTTAGGTTGCAGTCTTCATGTACTCAGTAAATAGGGCATTTTAGCTTGTATCTTTTGCAAATTTATCCTGTAAAACTTTCAAATACAAAGACACTTTGGTACTCTGTAGTCTCCATACAATCAGCAGAAGAGAAATTTGGACAGTGACTCATTGCCAATGTAGGTGTCATAAATAAGAGAGGGAAACAATTGAGAAGTTTTTTTTAATACTTTTCTTTTTTTTGAGAACTTATGTTGGTATTCTGAAAATGTGTAAGATGGAAAGCAAATCAAGTTGAAAAAATACCTGCAGAAGGATTTAAGTACTTGCCTATAATTGTAAACAGGGGAAAAAGTAAATTACTGTAAGAGTTGTGCTGTTACATTAAGTATGTGTTATGTGTTGATTTTTATTGCAGTGAGGAGGACATGTATCGTGATGCAGAAGAAATAGAGAGAGAGAAAATATTACTTTCTGAGACAGGCTCTTCAGGTACTTTTGAACTTTGTTTCAAAGACAGTGTTACAATTAATTGTAACGCTAATTTGTGATTATTTGATGCCCTCATTTCCAAGGATTTTTGTGCACAGATGTGTCTGTGCAATAGAAGCTACTTAAAATGACTGAGTACATTGTACAGATTACTTGATGAAAAGATCAATTTTATGTAAAACCAGTTGCTCTAAGTATATTTTTTCCCCCATGTTTCTATAAATTCTTTACAAGAGAATGTGAATCCTTTGGAAGCCAGTCATATAGCCTGTGTTATGAGTGGGAGTGTTATGCTTGAAAACTACTGGTTTATGGTCATTATAGCAGCATCTGTTGCTGGGATTCCTTGATAACCTTATTATTATCTGTTTTGGAATGAAGGCTTTTGGGATTCCAAGAGAAAACTGTATTTCTTCTTTCTACCATTGTTTCTAGCTTATTCAGAAGGATCTATTCTCTTTCTTGCTTATAGTCTGGCTTCTGAAAGAAGAGGAGAAACTTTCACCCCACATTTTTCTGATTGCTAAGAAAATTATTAATTTCTGCTCTTTGACAGTTAGTATTTTTCAGAGGAGAGTGTTCTCTGTTTTGTTGGAGTACATCATTATTTTTGCTTATTTGTCATTTTCAGAGCAAGCTGGTTTGGTTTGGGGTTTTTGCCTCCAGCACTCCTAATTACTTAGTAGCTGTAGGTTATGCTGCCAGTCTCCTTTAGCACCAGTGTTAAAGTGATAAGGGCATACTTAGAAATTCAGTGCTTTTTCTATGATGTTCTGTTTCACAGTTCTCAGTAGAATGTTACATACTCTGTTTTGGCAGAATATAAACTAAGTGTTGCACCTGAAATGGACATCATGGAGTATTGCAGGAAAGAATGGAGAGGAAATACACCAGCAGCAAAAAGGATGAGAAAGGTATCAGTTCTCTTTTTGTTGAATTTTGTTGTGCTTTTTGTTTTCATTCATATGTTTAGAAGGTGGTTTCCTATGGGAACAATCTTTAAATTGGGAGATACAGTAGCAGTGTTTTCCCTTGTCTGGTCATAGAAGTGGCTGTTGACTGGAATGTATTTTTTGGTAAGGTTACTTGTTGGTAGTGTAGGGTTTTGATTAATATCATTCTTCGCTATTGTTTTCAATTAAAGTTTTAAATTTGGTTTATTACATAAAATGTTAATAATCTGGGTGGTTGAAATTGCAGAGCAGATAACCAAACTTTTTGACAGAAGGCAAATAACTGAATTTGGTGAATTGCATGATTTTTAAGATGGGAAACTAATGAATAGGCTCAATTTTTCTTAATTTTTTGCAGGTTTTGGACTAGTTTTCTTATATTAATCTTGAGCTAAAATGGTGGAAAATAAAACATAAGGTTGGGTGGGTGGTTTTTGTTGTGGGTTTTTTTCAACACAATTTGAGTAAACCTGAAAAATACTTTCCATAAATACGAGATCCATGTGTCACCTTCAAGAGATTAGTAAGAGAGAAATACAGATGCACAAGGCATTGGATTTTGCTAGATTAGCTGAAGAGACACGCTGAGCTTCAGAAGTTACATTGCAGCATTGCTGCTGCTGCTGCTAAAAGTGTGTGTTTGGGAACAGCAGAGGGAGGGGACAGATGTGCTGAGGCATGTGTCAGGATACTTCAGTGTAAACACAAATATTGCCTGAGGCAAAGACAAGCTACATGTGACATGTATTGGGTAAATGGAATAAACTGTTGCTGAAACTTCTTGTAAGCATGATATATTTTTAAATTTATAGTCTTGTGTATGTATGTTTGGATTTATTTTTTAATTTAAGTGTGTTAGGTACCCACATTTCAATGATGTTTCTTCTCTGCTATCAAATAAGTGCCACAACCAAGTATCTACTTAAATTTCTTTGCTTTCTTTTTTGTTATTCATAAGAACTAAGGAAGTTTTTTTTCAAAGCAGAATTTGTGATATAAAAGCATTTGAACTTCCAAAATGGGTAGGGGATCAAATCCTTTTCTTTTTAAAATAGTATTAGCATTTGGATACTAATATTCCAATATCTTTTATGATATGCATGCATTACCTTAAAATGTTTTATTAATGCTTTCATGTTATTTGGATTTTGTGTTTTTCTAGGGATATGAAGCAGTTGCTCAGAAGTTTGCATCTATAAGGAGAGTACGAGGAGATAACTATTGTGCTCTCAGGGCAACTCTGTTCCAGGCACTAAGCCAAGCTACCCAGTTACCAAGCTGGCTGCAGAGTGAGGATTTTACTATGGTGCGTGTCAGACTCTCATCTTCTGACAGTAAAGGAATGTTGGTTCTAATATCTATTGGGTAATTTAATGATCTCATTTCTCTATAATGCTGTATGCTGTCTTGAATTCAGAAGTAGTACTGTCAAGTTTTCTTGTTGATTTACAGTGATTCTTTCAACTTGGAATTGAGCCGAGGTTCCCTTAATTTCCATTTTACAATATATAAATGTTACTGTAATACTGACTGTAATGTAACTTGTCTGTCTTCATCTTACCCTCTTGGTTTCTTCTTAATACAGGTAATATGGCAGTAAGAGGTTTCCCATAAGGCAGCTGGTAGTAACAAAAAAAACATGCAACTTCTTCTCAGTGCATTTGAAAAAAAACCCAAAACCAAACCAAAACAAACACACAACTTTAAAAAATTATGATAGGTATTCTTGTGTGCTTTATATGGTGTCACTAGAAAGTGGATCAACAAATTAGATTCCACAGGCTTTTCAGAATGTATTACCTGTGTCTTAAATGTTACTTAAAATAAGTGTGTAAGAGCAACTCCAACCTGATAAGAATTGTCCTTATGGAACAATGATGGATAAATGAAGCCAGGTGTCTTACTAAGAGGAGAAGAAAAATTTTCCAGAAACTGTCTTGTGTCAGCAAAGTCCGTTTGGTGATATTGGTGAACATGGTAGAAACATGTAGGAAGCTGCCTACACAAAAGTGGGCCGCTTCAGGAGAGTCAGTTTCCAGTTGCCCAGCTTGCTGCTGGAAATGTAAGTGATGAACGAGTGGTGCAGACTCTGTGTTGTAGGCTAGCAGTCCAGGCAGAGTCATGCTGTTCTTGCTGCCTTCCTGTGTAACTTTAATGCCATCTTAAACCTTCTCATTGTGATCACTGTCACTGTTAAGTAAACCTCTGCTGGTGTGTTTTTGTAATTACTGTTAAAGATATTTCTATGAAACGTTTCTTACTACATTCCAAAAAGGTTTCCTTCTAAAAAGCATTCTTCCAGCTGACGACCGTCTCCACATTGGGAATATAGTTTTCCAGTGCTCCTTTAACAAATGTGCAAACTTTGAAAAATGGTGTGCTTAGGTGAACATCACTTAAAAACTGCTATTTTTTTCCATCGTGATTGTAGAGGAAAATGTGTCATATCATAGTAATTAATTTTTTTTAAAGGTGTACAACTTACTAGATAAAACACACAAAAATATAAACTCTTAATGCATCAAAGCATGGGACGTGTAAGAGAAAGTGTGGTGACAGCAAGCTGTACAATCTCAACAAAGTTCTGCCATATAACCTTTGATTATTTAGTTCTATATGTCAGATTAGCATAAGATGCCAGGCTGGAGTGAGGGAGGATCTGCGTGTATCTGGCAAATTAAATACTTGATTGCCATTAAAGAGAACATGCTACTAATTTGGTGTACTGGTAAAATGAAAACTGTCTGTTAATGGCTGATGGTACCTGTGCTGCTTTAGCCAAATATTTAGTTCAATGTGAGACACAAATTACTTTCCTAGTTCTGGCGGTAAAATGGGTTAATAAATGAGGGTAAAAAACTGGGCACGCAACTGCCACAGTGTCCTTCAAGAGAAGTGTAAAAGCTCGTAACTGAGTAAGCGTAGCAAGTGAGGGTAAAAGAGGCAGTTCTGAGGCTGAAGGATGATCTGATGCATCCACTAATCCTCATGTTGTTTTCTTTATCAGAAAACCAGTCCCATAGTGTTTTCTCTGAAAAGAAAACACAGTTTGTATGTTCTGGGCTAAGTAGTTTGCACTCTACCAAGACTTCTGGCTTAACTGATGGATGTCATCACATCTTTAACCTTCTTTTCTGTTGTTCCCATGAACGCTTTCAAGCACTGTCACTGTCATATGCTGCTGGAGGTTTTTTAAAATTAAAAAAAAAAAAAAAAAAGCCATGAGTAGGTTAGGGTGATTAGTTTTCCCAGTGCTTATGTATTGGTTAGATCAAGGAATAGTAACAGACCACTGTTCTGACTGCTATCCAGCAAGTATTATAAAGAGCCAGTTGTGTTCAGTTACATGTTAGTATGGCATCTGTTCAGAAGAACATATGAGGCATTGTTTTAAGGTGCAAAATGTAAAAAAATAAAATAAAATAGTAAAATAATAATGGGCAAGGTGGTGGCTTTTCCTTTCAAGATTTTTGACTTAAACTGTCTTCTCTTAACTTCCAGCTTCCTGAAAACTTGCTGAGTGAATATGACTGGATCAAGCAGTGGCAGCTAAAACAGAAACTGGGCAGGAAGATGGGAGAAATAAGTGATGAAATTAAAGAATATTTAGTGCTTCTAAGGAAAAAGGTTGGAAAAGTATTTGCTTATTCTTGCTCACTTGTGAATAAGAAAAATGACAAAGACTTTTGAATGTGGTGACTTTAGCATGAGGATGCTTTTACTAGGGGGGGGGGAAGAAGCCACAATGTATACTGCAAAAAAATCAAGGAAAGAACGTGTGTTCAGATCTGTGGGACTTTTCTGGTCTTCCACTGCTTGCATTAGCCTGATGCTGGAATTAATTTGTAAACAGCTCTGCAGAAAACTATTAGACAGGTTTCAATTAAGAAATAAATGTAATAAAGTAACATTTTACCTCCCTTATTTCTTGTATTTATTTGAAGGAATGATGTATACTACAGATAAATGTTTTTGCTACCTTGAACAGTTCATGGAAAGTTAAAAAACCCAACAGAATAATGCTGAAATAATTTCAAAGGGGTAGTTTGTTTCGTGTTTGGATGGTTTTGTTCCAGGTTAACCTAACGGGGAAAATGGTAGTGCCCTTTCAGTGTATATTACTTGACCCCATGTTTCTCCCCCTTGAAATCTGGAACCTATTTAAAAACTATTTAGTTCTTACTGTGTATGCATATTCTTTTCTTTTTTTTTGAAGGCTTTTCAGAATATTTTAAAGGCTGCATTCAAGCAGTTTCTGAGGGTGGCAATGAAATATGCATTCAGAGTAACTGAAATGTAAAGAATATGAAGGATGTAGGATTTATGACACAGGAAACAAAGAGTTTGTATCTTATTGCTTATTGTCCCCTGACAATATTTGTTTTGCCACCTTGCCACAGTTTCCAACATCTCCATCCTTTACTTTGCTTAAGGACAAATTTAAGCAAAATCAAACTAACTTGACCTTGATAGGACTACAGCTGTGGAAATATTTTTGAGTGTTTTTAAAAAGGCACAAAGCCCTTCATAATTTCAAATTCTGAGTGCCTGTGCTGTGGATCTGGCAATTAACAAGTGTTTTTTTACAGCTCTAGCACATTGATGCCTATTGATACATGTTGCATTTGTTTTGTTTTGGGTTTTTTTTTACAGTGGAAGAGTATAAGTGAAATCAAGGGTCCTATTGAGAAACAAGAAGCCTGTGATAAATTGTTTAAAAATGAAGAGGAGGAGTATAGTCTTTATGAAGCACTGAAGTTTTTGATGCTTAAGACTGCCATTGAATTATACAACGATGATAAAAATGGAAGGAGAGTTCCTGTCTTCTCATGGTTACTGTTTGCACGGGATACATCTAGCAACCCTTGTCAGTTAATGCATAATCACTTGAATCACATTGGTCACAGTGGAGGCCTTGAACAAGTAAGGAGAGATTGTTCTTATAGTATGATTTTCCTGTCTTGGAGAGTGGTTTAAGAAATCACCCAGCTTTTGTTGGTCTAGCTAATTTTAATGGTGTAGTGTCTGTTTTTTCATTGGGAAAAATATTAACAGTCTGTAAAGGCCTTCCTTTTAAACACTGATTTTTGTCTGGTGGCTGATGCTTCTCTCTGCTTTCTGTGTGGCTAGAGAGTTCAGAGTACCCTCTTACGAGGGAAAGGATCAGTCCCTGGAACCCATTCTTGTCTGGTTTAGGGACTTAACGAGATGAATACTGGTATGAGAGAATGTCTTTCCTACCTGTTTTGTGGCAGTAGGGAGGTGGGATTCTCTGTATAAAGTAGCTTTTCTTTAACATTAATATCGTACTATGCTATTGTTGGATCTGAAGAGCTCCACAGTATCTTCAGAGGTGTTTGTGCAGCAAGTTACGAATGGCTTGAATGATCGAGGAAATGAACTAAAGTTGCTCATAGATAATGCATTCTCATTTACTTCTTTTTTTTTTTCTTTGAAAAACTACATGTGATGGGTATTAGTTTAGTATTGTTACGAGAAATATCTTGTAAACGGCGTGTTTATTTCACACATTGTATTTCTGCTTTTTTCCAACATAGGTGGAAATGTTTCTCCTCGCTTACGCTCTGCAGTATACCATCCAAGTGTATCGACTGTATAAATACAGCACTGATGAATTCATCACACTTTATCCCAATGACCCAGAGGAGGACTGGCCTGTGGTGACTCTCATAACTGAGGATGACAGACATTATAATATTCCAGTCAGAATGTGCCAAGAGACTGTGCTGTAAACAAGTGACTTTTGGCAGACAAACCTGTGCTGCTTATTGATCTTTCCAGTGCTATTTTGAAACAGGATGGTGATGAAATCTGCGTTATTAAATCTACAGCAACTTGAAATCCATGTTTTAGAAGCTTACATCTAAACCAAAACATCAAATAGGTACTAGCTTAAGGAGTAAAAATTTTGCAAGTATGGCTTTTGTTGCCCCTAAAAAAGCAGATCCCCCCTCTGCCCCCAACTTCTGCAATCCTTTTTTTGAAGGGCTTACTCTGAATAGGAATGCAAAAACTATAGATTTATTTCTTTTCAGAAGATGGCTGAAGCTCTGTGGTAAGACATTAGCTGACCTTCTGCTCCTTGAAATAATGAGGTAATGATGAATGGAAATTTCTGGAAAAGTAAGCTGGCAGTGTCCTGACTAATATTTGTAATGCTGCTTAGAGGCAATTTGTGCAAATCTTGGATCTCAGGAAGCAATATAATTCTCTTGCAGTTGGAATTTAATGCCTGCCATGGTTTATGCTATGAGAGAGATGCTATTTCAAGTTTTCTAATGCTTTGGGGTTTTTTTTTTCTGACATGAATATCTCTTATTTAGAAGCCACTCGTCTGTTACACTGAAAATTGAGAGCTCTTCCCCTTTCAGCCCTTGAGAGGTTCATGGCAAAGAGATTCGAGTATAATAGTTATTTGTTAGGTCACAAATTCAAAACCTACACAGAATTCCTTCTTCAGTTGTGGTAGGTGATACGAGATAAGCAGGTGCCCACCAACTTCCACGTCTGTTCTTACTGCTGTTCCTGTGGTGATGTTCCTTGCTGGTAGCTGCTGTGGAGAACATCGGGATTTTAATTTGACCAGGGAGTGCAGTAGATGGTGCAGCTTCTCCACTCTTGGGAGGAATATGTGGGAGGTTCTGTTTCTACTTGGAATTATTTGTTATGGTTGAAATTGAAGGAATACAGAATGTATCAGATGCTGGGAGAGCTGACATACCTTTAGCTTCAAGTGGAAGTGTGCCCTAGGGATGATTCTTGGAACAAGAGTGTGAGAATTGATTGAAGTGAAACGATGGTCATACACAGATCACTTGACTTCTCTTAGAAGGCCTTCTTATAGAAAAGTGATAAGATTATAGAAACTACTTCTTGTTCAAATTTTCATTCACCTAGTCTGGAGGAAATGACATGCAAAACTTCTAGCATGCAAAATTTTAAATTCTCATTTGTTCTACTTAATTTGTTAACTTTTCTCTTATTGTGCAAGGTAATTACACAATGAGAATGTGTATTCACCATGTTCTAAAATGTGGTTTAGACACATCTTCATGAGATTTGTCATATACTCAGTGTTGTATTTATCACGTTGTCTTTACCTTTTAAAACAACTAGTTTCATATGTTACTGAAAATTTCTGGGAGCTACAAGGGTTTAAAAAAAATAAAACAGTTCATCTAGCAGTACTTTGTTTCTTGTTTTATGCCTTGTTTTCTCTCTAACTTTATATTTTTGAGGTTTTAATTTTGAAATCCTTGTTCAAATTAGTTGTTTCTTGAAAGTTGCAAAGCATAGTAATAGATGTAAAGCAAGCAGTTATCAGCTTGGACAGAAAAAAAAATTCCCTGAATTACTATTAACCAGCTAATGCTGAAGGGGAAAGAAAAAAAAATAGCTTTTGCAACTTGCTGAACTCTGGTAGTAAGAGCTGCAGTTATAATTTAAATAACTGAAATTATTGAAATCTTGATGTCTTCTAATTGTCATATATTCTTGAGATGAATTTTAATCAACTCAACACCTCTCTGAAAAAGACATCTTTGTCCTACATTTGGAGCAGTGGCTCTGAATGTTATGACAAAAGCCTCTAAAGCAGAGGCTGTTTAAGGGCTGAGTTTGCAGCCACTGGGTATGTGAGCAGTTTGCAGAATTGGCTTGTATGTTGGACTGAGAAGCGCAGGACTGAGCACAAGGTACGTGTGCACCTTAAGTCACGTATTGTTCCTGCAGAGGTTGAGTAACAAATGGTAGAAAAATTGATGTTGCTTTCTATTTTCCATCTGTATTTTACAAACAGGCAATGAGTCCACACTGTGGTGTGCAGTATATTGATTTAACTTAAATTTTAAGTATAGAATTGGTAGCTGGCAGTTTCATCAAGACTTAGACAATAGATAAATGCTGCTTTTCTGTTGGGTCTCCTCCCTGTATTCTGCTGAATAAACTGAAAGAGTCAATAAATTAAATGAAGTGGAAGTGAGGGAGGGAAGAGGAAGAGGAACAGAGGTCAGATCAGTTCTGCCCCTTGCCCCTATGTCCATGAGTCTTGCATGTGAATAAATTTATAACAGCTGCTGTACTTCAAGATCAGTGTCATAGAATCATAGAATCATAGAATAGATTGGGTTGGAAAAGACCTCCAAGATCATCAAGTCCAACCCCTGATCCAACTCCAATTACTATATCATGGCACTAAGGGCCACGTCCAATCTCTTTTTAAAAACCTCCAGGGATGGTGAATCCACCACCTCTCTGGGCAGGCCGTTCCAGTGCCTGATTACCCTCTCTGTAAAGAATTTCTTCCTAACATCTAACCTAAACCTCCCCTGGCAGAGCTTGAGCCCATGCCCCCTTGTCCTATTGTTGGTTGCCTGGGAGAAGAGACCAACCCCCACCTGGCTATAACCTCCCTTCAGGTAGTTGAAGAGAGTGATGAGTGTCCTAAAGGAAGCAGGTGCTTTACTCAACAGCTGGCATATTTTGGTAGGTACAGTCCAGATTTTTCATACTGTAATACATGAGCTCCCGGGAGTTAGTAGAGGTGAAGAAAGTTCCCCTGACTTGCAGTTAGTGTGCTTTTTGTGCAAAAAAAACCCCCAAAAACCAAACTTCATCCGCTTTAGGCACATCTTTTATCCCGACTTTAACAGTATTGTTGTGTCCAATTTCTGCTTCTTGGAGAAGGAGGCATGTGTTCTTCAGAACCATTTTAGCACATTTCATGTATTAAATGGAAACATCCTGTTTTCTATCACAGTGCTTTGACTTGGGCTGATTGCTTTTTAAAAATCATTTAAGTGTGTATTTTTCACTAAACACAGTTGTGGTCTACACAAAGCTTTTCTTTTGCCTTCCTTTGGTCTCTGTGTAAGAAGGATGTTAGAAAGTTAATGGATACTTATCCTCCAACTTCTTTTCTGTTGGTGGAAGAGTACAGCAGTTCTTCATCTGAAAGAAAACAGGTCCAGGTGATCTTACTAGACTGGGTGGAGTGGAACCAAATTGCACTGTACCATGTGGGAATAGCTGGCTGTGGGTGGAGAGAGGTGCTGAGCTGAAGCTGCCGCAGGCAAGGCAGCAAAGCTTAGGATGGGTACAGCTCTGAGAAGGTTGTGCTGGAACCAGCGCAGCAGGGTGGGAACTTGTCCTTCACTAGCACAGTAGGCATGGTCATGTATTGCTTTTTAGGTGCTAAAGGAAGTGGGGAGAGAGAGCTCTTGCATTGTGTTTCGAGTTCAGGACTTGATTTGTGATCTCATGTCCCTAATACTTAATAGTCTTGTTTGTGCAGCACCCACATCTTCTTCTGGACATAATTGCCATTTGTTCCCCCAGTATGCTAGCTGGCAGGACAGGACCAACAAGAATGTTTGAAGATACTTTATGAATGCACCCTTTCTGGTGACAGTGGAAGGTGACAGGCAGCATGTTCTGGAAGCTTGCTGCTAGCTGAGTAATTGTGCTGTGGCATCAGCTAACGTGCTTCAAGCCAGACAGATTCAATGAATATTTCCATTTATAAACTTGTTGTGGAGAGCCTCAGCCTCTGAGAAGTGGAAAGGAAATGTTGGTTCCACAGAGCTGAAGTGAAACAGAAGAGGGCTAGCATGGTGGAGGCCTGTCAAGAAATGTGGCCCTTCAGTCCCTTTACCCCAGAACACTCATTTTCTGCATGGGTGCTGATGAGTTGCTCTTATTTCTGTTTACAACTTCTGTTCGAGTTGGTGGGATGCCAAAAAGCCACCCCGAGTTGTACTGAGCCATTGAAGAACGAGTCAGTACTGACTAAAAATAGTTCTATCAGGGTTGTCAGATGAGGACTGTGGCATGCTGAGGAAGGAGTGGCACATCAAATGTGATTGCCAGCTGCCTCTTCCACAGGTTGTTTCCCCAGTTTGCCCGTCTTTGGAATTGTGGTTTTTGGGTTGCTTTTTTTTTTTTAGCCATCTGGTGGAACACTTGCTGGGCCTCTGCTCTCCATGTTTCAATGTTTTCTGTGTCATAAGATTTTTTTTTTTTTTTGGCATGAAAGGTTAAAAGAAAGAATAGATTATATTGAGCAAGGAAGATGTACAGGTCTTTGACATGATATGTTTCCTTTGGGCTGGGGCTGTAGCAGGAAGCCTCTGCACATGCTCTTCTGTGTCAGGCTTGCAGTCTTAGGAAAAAATAAAAATAAAAGCTGCTACAATGATTATGAAACTAGTATCGTCCTTCTCAAACAGTCTTCTCGTGTTTCACAGAACTTTCACTGGAGATGTTCCCTTCTAGCTTACTGCTGACCTGATACGAGACCTCTTTGTCTTTGGGCGGCTTTGCAGCGGAGCCCGGGCGTTCGTGGATGCCTGTCTGGTGCTGAGCCCTGGCCCCGTTTGCCAGCCAGTGACGCTGCAGGCTGGGCAGAGCCCGGCGGGACGGGCTGGCACAACCCCCTCATCCCCACTGGTGGCACCTGGGGACCCTCCATCCCCCTAGAACACAGCCAGGGCATCTGCTGGCTCCTTGCTTCACCTTGGTGCTCCAGCAAATGCAACAGGCATTTACAATACATAAATAGCAATCGCAGTATGACCAAAATGCTTTTTCTTCTGATCTCAAAAGGTGAGGGCTTATCAAGGTGAGGGAGGTCCCTTCCAATCCCTAACATTCTGTGATTCTGTGATCAGCATCAGCTCACCCGTGTGGACTGGTGCGAAGGGATATATTAGTCAACAGCAATAGCGCAGAGGTAGATAAGAGATTTTGAAGATGAGTGGAACACTGTGAAATGAAGCAGTAAGAGACTTGAGATTTATATTTCTTTAAATTTTTTAATCTTATTGAGTATCAAATAGTTCATCTT